CCAGGAATTTTCCCCTGGTCCAGCACTTGCTAGCAGCTCCGTTAGCCATCTGATAGTTGGGAAAAATGGTCAGTGGATGTGTTAAATATTAATTCTGTCAGATCCTCTGAGTTCTATCTTCAAATTATCAGAAAACATACCTAGACCATATTATATGTGTTTCCTGGAGAAATGCGTTCCTTAAATTGTAATTAAACACCATGCTTTTGGCTCTTTAAATAGAGTTACAACAAAAGAAACAATCATTTGAAAAATGTTTCAGGATCTTCTATAAATCTTATAAATAGACAACGTCTTTATAGTCAAAGACACTGTCTATTAAGTTACTTACATAAAGATACTCATACTAAACCTTCTTCATATGAGATGCCAGAGACATGCAAATAATACCTTTTATTGGAACCTGGAGACTACATACTCTCACGTATTCCGATTCTCTTTCACTCTGTCTTACAGAAAGCTCAGATTCAAGTTAGATCCCTCCACTCCGGGATCTTCCCGTATAAGCACTCAGTGAACCCACTTAAGTTTCCTCCCAGCTGGTTCAGCAACATCTTCCTCCCCGCAATCAGCAATTCTTAAGGGGAGGGGACTATTTCAACTACCTCCCTCCACCACACTAACATCACTGGGGGCAATATACTGATGGAAATGAGTTGTACATGTGGTCAGTGTCTTTTTGACCACCCTATTTGATATGCCTTTGACATGCAGGCTGTAGTTCTGTGTAAATACTGTTTTTTTTTTTTTGTTTTGGTTTTGCCTTGCTAAGTCAGACAAGACAAACAGTATTGTAGGTGCCGTTTTACGAGTTAAAGCAGCTCTTTTCTGTTTATTCTGACCCTGTTTGTCACTCTCTAGACCAAAGTCTGATTTTGCACTTCTTATTCCCTTGGAAGAGTATCCCTCCCTTCCCCTGAAGCAGGATCCTCCACCTCTCTTTACTTTCTCTTCTTAATTCAAAATACTTTTAAGGGCGGGATAGGGAAAGGCAGATGCGAAATGAAGCCTGGACCCCCTCCTGCCTTAGTATTCCGAATTGCCTCCCAACTTTGTTGGGAGCACATGGGATAAACGAACACATTGTTTGTTTTCTGTCATCATCATGTTTAACCTGTAGAACAAGTGATGCTTTATATTTGTAGGCTACGCAGGGTTTTAAGAGATCTCTGTCTTGGCCAGCACGATTTCATGGCAGCGGAGAGTGACACGGAATTGCCTAGCGGGATAGTGCGAGGCAGGGAGGACTCAGATATTTTATTTTTCACTTTGTAACTCTGTTCATAAGCGGTCTGGTTTCACCTTGAGGGTTTTCCTCCACCTTCTCACCCGCAGGCTCAACTCCTCTCCTCGCCCCCTCCATCTCCTTCTCTTCAGTCTATGCAACCCCCAAACAGAAGATCTTTCCTTTCTTCCTCCTCTTCTCCCGTCCTCTTCTGCCTCCCACGTCCAAGTACCAAATCCTAACCATGGTACCCTGTAATATTGCTCGGTTCTGTCTCCCGCCCTCCCTTGTTATTCTCCTGATTCCAGCCTTAGCCGAGGCCTTGTTGTTTCTCCTGGGCTGCCGCAGCTGCTTCAGACCCAGTTTCCCCGCTAGGTCGTGTCAAATCCATCCTTCCTGGGCTGGCCGCCGCCGATCTGAGGGCTCCCAGCACCCTGCCCTATCACAGCCGTGCTCCTCAGAAGATGCACAGGGCTCCACGTGGACCTGGCCCTGCCCGCCTCCCCACTCAGTACCGACCTGGGTACACCAAGTACCTGCGCGTCTCCAGCACGCACCAAACAGTTCCGCCCTCCGGCAGCCTCACCCGGACCAGTCCAGCTGTCACCTCCTCCAAGAAGCCCTCCCTGAGGGCCCCGCCCCTCCACAAAAGCCTTTATGCTCCCAAAGCCCTACGGCCCTATAACGTGCTAGTGCTGCTACTTTCTACTTCTGCGCTTGCCCGCCGCGGGCCTGTGCACACTTTGCGGGATGTAATATGTCATAATCGGCTTTGTAGCCCCGGGCCCTAGCCCCGCAGCTGAGCCCCCCAAACCTCAGGAACTCCTCCCTGCAGAGGAGCCAGGGCGCCCTCCCTCAGTGTGCCTTTAACCCAGAGCGGGGGCGGCGCAGAGGAGCCTGCACAGAATCAGCGGTCACTGCCTGCCCAGTGAGGCCTCAGGGCCCGGGCGGGAATGACCCAGGACAGCGCCGCGGCTGGGCTCGGCGCTCTGGGCCGCGCTGGCGCTCGGTGCCCCGCCCCCAGCGGCACGCGCGCGGTCGCCTTGGCAGCGCGGCGGCCGCGGCCTGCGGAGTGAGAGGAGCATGTGGAGCGGCAAGGAGGGGACGGGCTCTGCCCCTGCCCCTTCTCCGACCCCGGCCAGGCCCCCCTCTCCGGCCCCAGCCCCCGCGGGCGAGCGCGGTAAGAAGTGGGGTGCCCTTCGGCGCGGCCTGGCCCGGAGAAAACGCGCGAGCGGTGCCGGGGTGGCGCCTGCCGATTCCTCAGAGAGGCTGCCGGCCCCAAGCGGCGCAGCGGGAGGGTTGCCCCTGGGAATCCCAGCTGCCGCCAGAACTTTGGGCGCCCCCAAACGGGCGAGAGAGGAGCTCCAGGGCACTAAGTGGGTCCGCCTTCGGTGCGATAGGTTGCTCAGACGAAGGTGTACCTGTCGCTGTGCTCTTAGGGTCTCCAGGAAGGTGTGTCTGGG